ATAGTCACTTCTCAGAACTAAAGATGGGTGACGAAACTATTTTTACGATGACGAAATGGTTTCGTCAATGTTTCATCTGACGAAACTTTGACGATTGACGAAGCTGACGATTGACGAAATTTTTGACGAGCTTCTTTGGATATTGTGAATCTTAAATTTCTCAAAATTACCGTCGTTTTATCATCATCAAGTTCACCCGTTCATATGAAAAAATTGCAATTTTTTTTAATCAGTAACGAGCTTTTTTTTTTTATTAAATTATCAGTTCGTTATAAAAAAATTAACTCCATTAAAGTTAAGCTCATACATACAAAAATTAACAGATATCGGTGATTAATGTAAATCATCAGATAATGTGCCAAAAATAGAAACTGAGTCGGCATGTAACGAACAAAAAACTAACTTCACATGATTCCTAGAGAAAAATCATATTTTTTAATTTTCTTACATTTCACAGGTTGAATCAATGAAAATCGGGTACGTACCAGGCGACAAGCTTCCTGATATGTATAATAATTAATTACTAGGAACTGGAAACCAGTGTAAGTCCGGAGATAAAAAACGTATTGAGTATACTACTTCGAAAATAAAAATCGACATTTGTAAGTCAAGTTAGAAACGGTATTTTTTGAATACATATATATGATAATCATTATGACCAATCAGATTCACGGAAGCGGACAGACGGAATTATCACGTGATCAAAATGATCACTTGCTGTCGTTTGCTCCGGACAATAAAAAAAAATTGAATTCAAATAATGACGTAATATTTGCAATTAATTGCAATTAATTTCAAGTTTATTCCAGCATAAAATGTAATTGAAAGCTCGATAATAGAGTTCCCTCATATTATTGCATTTTGCAAAATTGCGCCATTAACCAATTTTAATGACCGGTAGTAACTTAATGACCTAAAAAAAATTGGATCTAATCCGCTTATAGGTAATGAACTGTATAAATCAATTTCACTGACAACCATTTCGTCGACAAATTCGGAGTTAGGGTTGACTACCCTATAAAAAAAAAAAATCTCTTGTAATTGTTCGGAAAATTCCGAAATTATTCGATTTTTTGTTCGGAAAATCGACCCCTTTTCGAACATTTAAAGGATGTTTATTGGATGAATGCATTTTTTATACGTTTTTTATACGATAATTTTTAATCAAAAATTTTATATTTTTTACGTCCCGTACAAACGTCGTTATAAAAACAGTACAACATAAACCCTGTTCGGAAAATCGACTCCGTTCCGAACATTTTTTTGGACAAAGCCTACAATAACAGTACAAACTTTTTTATAGGGCTATAAATTAGTGATACCTGACGAAACCATGTGATGCTAATTGTCATATGGTACAATATATAAAAATCAACAATCTATTTTGATTTTTCATAAGTAATAGCACGTGATAATTAGCATCACATGGTTTCGTCAGGCATCACTACTATAAATAGATAGTTGCCGACAAAATCTACCAAAATTACAACGGACATATAAATTCTATAATTACTCTACTTATAGCTAGCTCATCTAAGACTAATGATTCCTGACGAATGACGAAATAGTTTCGTCTAGACGAATGACGAAACCATTTCATCGGGCAACTTCGAATTGACGAATGACGAAACTTGTGACGAATGACGAAACTCATGACGAATGACGAATATGGAGCGCATGACGAATGACGAAACGCATAACGAATCATGAATTTAATATAAATGTAAAGAAAAAGTAAAAATCCGATTTTCTTTTAGAAATCATGCAAAATTAATTTTTGTTCGATATCATTTTTAGACACATTGATCCGAGATTACCTGATGATTTGCATTAATCACCGGATGTATCCGATAGTCTGTGAAGGAAAACGGATAATAAATGAGCTCGTTAATTTTTGTGTGTCAACATTTTATGTGACGGCTGATGCTATTCACGTAACACATAATGACAAAATTTTGTTGTCATGTATAGTTGTCAAAATTATTTAAAATTTGTTTATATAGTGTTAGTGTTTAGATTAGGATAGAAGTTAGCTAAGTATGTAATGAAATCGCAAAGAAAAACCTTTTTTTATGTTTTTCAAAATGAAATCTCTAATCACGATATTTATTGGCCAATTTCCGTCAATCATCACGTGAAAATCAACATCGATTTAATAGAAAAAAAGCATCCTGAAGGTGGTAATTCTGGTGGACAGTGTAATCTTGGACTTTGCTATCAATATGGCATAGGAATTAAGAAGGATGAAAGCTTAATTAAGCTTAATTCGGGCCGTGACTCAAAATAATGCCCGGCCCGCTATTATGCACAAATACGGTACTTCTGGAATTGCTTGCATTACGTGCAAAAAAGAGGTGTAATTTCAGAAGTATACGGTACTATGTTTTCATATAATATGATGATAACAGTAATTTGAAAAAATTTAGGATTCAGAATATCCATAGGTCATTATAAAGAAGCTCTACAAAAGAAGGTCGACTCTATTCGATCGTCGGCAGTTTCGTCAATGCTAAAATAGTTTCGTCAGGCATCATTATCTCAGACTGCCAGCTATTTCTAGTCTTCGCAGAATGCTATTCCATTCTGAACAATTCAGATATTTCTCTTCTTATCATATTATGTTAGCTTTTTATTCAATAAAATCATTTCTGGCCTGAAGATTCTGTTCGCATCTAATTCTTTGTTATTGATCATTCCGTGGACCATACCTGTCATGTAATATGTAGTAGAATATTAGGGCAAATTTCGTATTATTTAAGACGTAATTTGTAAATTTTAGATAAGGGCCCGGAGATTCCAATGTGGGCAATCAACGAACCGAAAACAAGAGTATTTCTCAAAAAGTGATAATCTTTTAAAAGGGTTTGACTGTATGAATAAGTAAATTTTTATTTGTTTCGCAGAATTTATAAAAATGCTGAATTTACACAGCATAAATAAAAAACTTTTATCACATAAGCAGACTTGTAAAGCACAGGATTTAGGAATGTTGTAGCAAACAATCGGTGTCAAAACTCCAGACACATATGGGAAGTGCCGATATCAGGGATACACCACATCTAGTGATGTAACATAAACTATTTGGGACGCCTCAAAATGCATAGATATCAGTTTCGGTAGTACTAAAAATAACACTTAATTTAATACTAGACATCACATAGGACGTAAGTTTAGGTTTCCCATCACTAACCACACCCAGATTTTTTTAACAATTGAAAATCGATACAGCATATGATGCTTTGTCTTAGATACGTATAAAGAACAAAGCTTTATGGCAAACACTGATACGTTTATGAATTTGTGCAACAATGATTATTCTGTGTACAGCAAATGCTATTCCTAAATAGTGCATATAATGATTCATTGTGCGATGCATCATGTGGTTCTTGTTTGAATCAGACCTAAAATAGTTAATATTGTGAAGTTAGGTACGTACGTACGTACGTATCTAAATACAACCATGTATAGCCGGAAAAGTAAGTGACTTATTGTATCATTTCATTAGAACTTGAATAGAAATTTTTACTTTAAAGAATTTGAGAAATACGTAACTCAACTCTTAAAGGAATACTGTGCTGACTTTGAGCAGGATGTTAATTATTAGAACTAATACAGCCAAATTTGCACAGACTCCCGAGCTATAACTTATTTCAATAAAGTATTATCATAATTGACTTAGATAGCTATATTCTTGATGGACATACAATATAGATCGTAAGTTGCACAAATTTTAGCTAAAAAATAATGTATAAAATTTCTCCCTTGTCTTCTTGTTTTTAAATAATCACATTTGAACTTTTTTAAACAAATTTATTAGTGATTCAGAGGTGTTAAAAATTTGATTGTTACACGCCGTGACCTATTATAAAGAATTTGGTTCTTCTTAAATCATTGAATGCAACAATTAAGAATCACCTATTTTTAGCACGTACGTACGTACAGAATGTACATCATCATAAATACGTCAAATATACGTAAATACGCATACTTGTAATTACCTCTTATGTTCTCATTCATTGAGTTAAAGAATAATATTTATTGTCACTGTTACTATATCACCGTAGTGTTTTATAGAACTGCTCGTGCTAGTATTTTAGCGGTATTGTTTCAAGTAATATTATAATTTAACAATGTATTTGTTCTTTAATTTTTAATATTTTACGAAACCACAGCACAGCAAGATTTGACGACTGATGACAAGGTTCAATTTTTTTCTTTACATATCGATATAGTGCATTCTAATCACCGTTATTAAGCACACTTTATTCATTATTTAAATATTAATTACTACAGATGAAGAATTCTCTTAGATCCTGAAAATCTGAGATATAGTAATATCAATCGCAGAATAGACGTAAAGCTTCACTCTTTTACTTGTTGTTTTATGTTCTATTATCTCATTCATATGTGATGTTATATAATAAATAAAGTAACTCGACGTTTGAAAAATAAAAAGAGGATGTATTTACACTATCAGTTTCACTTTTGTCAAATAATTTTATCCTCGAAAAAAAAATAGGGAAAATTTTTTATGAATACGCCACTGGTTAACCCTATGATTACTTGTCATTATTGTAGCTTTAATTTACAAAAGTATAAGCACAACTAATCGAGATTAGAATCGCAAGAATAATATACTAACTTTCAAAATAAATTAACGATAATATGTAATTAAAAATAAATCCTTATATTGTGAATAAATTCATTGTAACTGTCATCCCAAAGTAGCTATATTCCAGAATCAGCTACAAAAATGGGATGTTACAATTAGAACGTAGCACACTAAATAAATAGAAATTATCGAAAACTTCTCACTTCCAAAGATGGATATAGTGTAACCTTCATGGTTCAAGTTCCTATTTTCCGTCAAGCAACAGAACTTTCTTGCACAGCGGAAATTTAGATCGTCAAACCATAGAATTTTTATAAATAATCTTATCTACCCGTTCCCCTGGAAAAAAAAAAAAAAAGAAAACATTAAGGAAAAAAATCAAATTAAGATGAATCATCATTCTAATTCGAAACTTCCCTTTACTATTCAGCAACTTGCTTCTTTGTACACTACAAACGATTCCACAGTTAATCTATTTAATTGTCCAAATCTCTTGCCTACTGAACAATCGAATCCTCAAATTCAAATATCTGAAGTTGAGACGTTTTCTACATTAGAAAATCCAAACGCGGTCAAAGGAAAACACTTGAAGAAGTATCAGCAGCATTATCTTACACCCACACCCTATAACTATTCGGGTTACTGGTCATCCGAAGATGATACAGGTTATTATTCTGATTCACATTTAATGTCAATTGATCCAGTAACTCCGCTTGATGATGATAATGGCTATCTCTCTGACTCACTATTATGGAGTCAAACTTTGAATTCTCAATCAACATCGACATCCCCTTCTCCTTCAGTTCTTTCAGCATCATATGATGATAATGTATTTTTCCCTAATCAATATAATGAATGGGATGGACATATTTCAGACTCTCAAATTAATGATGGTTACTTGTCTGAATCTTCGATGTCTTCACCACAGCAGACGCTTTATCAACATACCAATGGCCTATATATTAATACAATCGATCAATTTGCACTTAATCCTCAGTTTGCGCGTTCTCTTACACGAAAGCCTAAAAAAAATGTAACATCAGCATGTTTAAATTGTAAAAATTCACATGCAAAGTGTGATATTCAACGTCCTTGCAGAAGGTGCAGAGAAAAATGTATGACATGCGGTCCTACTCAAAATAGAAGACGAGGTAGAAAACCACGTCAAGGCTCTACACCTTCAACACCCGAGCCAACATCACCCATTTCACCATCATGTCAAAGCACTGCGCAAAAACCCTTTTAGTATGGAAATTATATGTATATATGATAAATCATTAATCACATTATAGGACATAAGATTCTGGAACGCTTAAGAACAATCATTGTGTAATAATAATTTTTTTTTTTTTTTTGTTTCTTACCTATCCATATTATAATAATATTGAGACAAATTGCGTACGAATTATGTAAAGATTGTCTAATGTCTTATATTAATTATAATATTAATAAACATGTATTAAAATAACAAATGTTAATTAACGTTAAGAACTTTTGAATTTTTATCGATATGTTGTTATTTTTTTACCTCAAAAATGAGTTTCATGATCTATCATGCTAGTGATGCACTACAGCTTATGACATATGAGGCCATAACTTATTATTAAAAATAATACCGCACAGCAGTGTGCCGTGATTAATATAACAAAAATTTTGTATATGTGCAAGTCGTGTTACGGCAAGTATAGTCTGAAATTATCATCGTATTATAACTCTTGATGCTCTATACTAACTTGTTTCTTGTCCCTTTGTTTATAAAATAATAATAGTTGTTAATATTGATCCATAAAGAAATGTATTTTACCTTGATGGATTTATTTCATTTTGGAGGAATATATAGGATTCCGGAAACAATTTCGCGCACAATACTAATTCCTTTGTCATCATTGCGGCCAATTAATGTATCGGTTTATCATCTGAATTGCAAGAATATTTCGTATCCGGTAATTAGAAACGAAATAATAAGCGAAAATTAGGTGAATTAGATAAAGATAGAATTAAAAAAAGAATTAGACAAAGAGTTAAGCAAATAATAAGACAAGAAAAATAATCAAATAGCTAAATACCGTTATTAAGATTTTATATCACCTTTAATTATTGTGACTGAGCTCGTATAATTACGAACGAAACATTATCTATTACTTCAAATAATTTAACCAATTATCGAATTAATTAGACTGAATAAAATCAGAAAACGGGTTCAATCTTAGGCTGAAGAAACCATTAGGCGAAACGAGTACTATTTTTATGAAGACTCACGCTTCAATATTTCTAAACATGTCTTCTTAACAGAAGAGATATTCATTGTCACAACTGATGCTGAAACTTAGTTGAACAAGTATGTATACCGATTGACTACAAATTAACAAATCAAACATGTTAACTTCGGTTTCCAACTACTTTTTGCAGAATCATTTTGCAGATATCAACAAATTTGAAATTCAGTTTGCAATTGTTATTCGCTATACTAAATCACTTGTTTAATTTGCCTTCATTGTTGTTACATACAATAACTATATCATTGCGTTAGTATACTTATTTGTATAAATACATACATTAACTCCGATAGCAAACGGCATAACGATAACTTACAACAGGAGGAAACGTTGAAGTTACACAACTGATTTTTCACGCGGTGTGAAACACATAAAAAAATTATTTTACAATAC